TAATATGAGATCCCTTCACTTTATATAGCAGAGTATGTTCTCCTTGCTAACTGGGATATAGACACCTTTGGGGACATCTTATTTTATAATGTCAATTCATAAGTCACCAGAGAGAAGGACATTGTGTACTAAATGCTTCTACCATCATCAATTAAACCCAGTAACCCACCTTCTGATTCATTACAACCTTTTTAAAGAAGGAAGATTCTTGAGAGGGAGCTTTTTTTTTTTAATGAGTCATGAAAAATGTATTTTTTTGTAAAAATTAGGGTATCACCGGAAACATCTTTCAGCACCATGAAAACCAGCTAAGAGCACAAAATAAGAGGAGAGTGAGCAGACAGCTCTCACAAAATGCCTCTCAAAGAACTGATATCTACAATTTGTTTATACACACTGGCCTAACTACAAAATCCAGCTGCTGCTTTTGAAACAACAGGTCTGTGATTTCTTACTAGCCTCCTACATGCATAAAAGGCATCCCTGCAAATTCTGTTGGTGATGGGTTCTCTGCAGAACATTGGTTTGAAATCAGTCTCCATGCTAAAATGAACAATTAGACTGCTACAACAAAGCCAGCATCATCTTGGCTCCACGTCTGAATATCACTCATCAGAACAGAGCCCATGTTTCACTGGACTTTAGAAACACCATCCAAACAAACCTGTTGTAGAACAGTATGAGACACAAAGTATGGGATCACAAAAGACTCAGGATTGTACAGAACACTGCTAGTCACAGGCATGATTTAAAGGTATCAACAAGCATTTTCAGAGTTTCTTCATGTGCGCTCATATGAGAAATAGAATCAAATGACAGAAAACGTTACAAAGAACTTTCAATTATTATAGTGGCTATTTATTAGAACAGCATTTAAGCTCACCAGAAGTCCAGTGCCAATTGCACTTATTACTTTGTCTTGGTAATTTACAAGGGCTATAACCTTGAATTTTTTTTTTTTTTTGGTGACAAGAGATTCGTGCTCAGTTGAAGTTAAGTCCTTGATAGTCCCAGAAGAAAGGTGAAGGTTAGGCACATAAGGAGCACTTTGAACAAATTTCCATGGGTAAATTCAGCAAACAGAAATAAAACCATTTTTTTCAGTTCCTATAGTTTTCCAATTCCAGGAAGCTTAAGCTACGAGGTATCAGCTTTGTTTCATAACATCAAATTATGTAACTACCACTATTTCTAGAGATACTGGCCTGCAAAAATTACTCTTTCTGTAGATGAAGGAACCAAATAACAAAACCCAAACAGTAAAACTTTGCTGTTTATGCATGAGAAGATTTCGAACCACTCAGTGAGTCATTTTATGAAGCAATTAACTTTCCTTTTTATGCAGACATTTTTTTCTTCGTCTGCCACCTTTTTAATCGTCCTTTGCATAAATTGTAAAATAATTTCTCATTCCCTCAGAAACAACAGCTGCATTGTGAACTCCTGAATTGGCATGTCTTTGGAATATATTATAATAATTCAGAAACTGCTGCCATTTCTGTCAAGCTTTCATTCATAGGAAGGTTCAAACGTCCCGTCCTCCCTCCCCCTTCCAATGCTATTGCTGATCTCAGATTGTCCAGTCACTTCCCTTGCTCTCCCAACTCCCTCTCCCGCCTCCAGTCTCAGCCCTTTCTCTCTAAAGCTCGACACAAATCTCCTTCCCTTGCCACTCCCTAGAACTGGCTCTCTGTAGCCTTCTTGAATTAGACACAAATGACTTGTCTTGACTTCCAAAGCCCTTTGTGGCCTCTCTGCTCACCACTGACCCTCTCATGTTCAATATCAAAGGTCAGCGCTCACTTCCAATTAGTCTATGAGCCAAGGTACCTTCCTCTGACTGCAAGGCTTTCAAAACAAGCCCAGTCATGCTCTTTCCTCTGTTGCCCCTCACTTGTGGGGAAGGAATTGTCTATCAGTATCTGCAAAGCCTTCACGTTCTGCCTTTTTAAATCCCTCCTCAGATCTTCCCTTTGCCTTCAGAAACCGCAGCAAGAGCCTGACGGTTCACGTGTCAGGGCAACACTCAGCAGCACAACAGGAGCTTCCTCACTGGTGTCACTGTTCTACAGGGAAATGCAGTTTGTCTGTGCCCTGTTTTGCAACTCAGTGGAGGAGCTGTGGCTGATAACCTGAGCTTTGTGGCTCCTAAAAACTGCAAAAAATAATGAGCAAGAGAGAGGACAATAGGAAAAGCATAGATTATTGGTTTCTAAGGCCCAGATGCAGGCATTGCATAGCTCACATCAGCTGAAAGTTCCTGAATGAAAATAAAAAGTTCTGGTCCATCACCTACAACTTCAGAGTGAGCCTTTCTCATTTCAGGCAGAGTTGCAAAGTCTGATCCAACTATACACAGCTAATGGTTCAAACCTATATAAAGTTTGTAGAATTCCACAGATTTCATAAAAATTTGTTTTCTTGAACAATTCAGACTCTTGCCCAAATAATTAGGATTCTTACGTGCTAAAAAAAAGTCACCAGTATATATTATCTTGAGCAAATCTTCATCACCTTGCCTCAGCATTTCTGTTGTAAATGGCTTTTTTGGCTGCAGTTTTCCCAAAATTTTAGACTGAGATATGCACTCAGGAAAAAATCATTCTGATAAAGGTTATAAGTACCTGAAATTCTATTAGGTATCTGAAACTCATTCATATGAATAACTGAAAACATGGCCATACAATGGTAAGTTTGCCTTAAACTGATAGATGATGCTCCCAGCACCATTATTATAAACACAGTGGTTTATTATGGAGATAATTGTGGGTTGTTCAAGTGGAGGATGGAGATGTATGTGTGGGAAGTAACAGAATGGAGGTAACTAAGTGAGTGGAGTGTAGGTGAATAGCTGAATGGCTTAACTGTTAATTTCCTTGGGGTTTTTTTACAATTTACATTAGTATGCAGAGAAGTGGGATCTAACTCAAAGAACTTTTCTGAGCAGGGGAACAAAATCACACATAATGTGTACAGAACCATGTGAAATACAGAAACTTGGTATTGCATTATGTAATTTTCCTGAAAGTTGTAGCTTGTTATCAGAAAGGCCCTGCGGGGTTTCATAACCTGGAAAAGCAGCTTTCATGAAATATGTCACTCTTCAAGAAATGAGCAATAGTCCCAATTTTGCTTCATACCACTGACACAATATTTGGCTCTATCATTTAAATATAATTGATCTTTTTTTTTACATTAATATTACTAATAAATGTAGATTGCAAGGATTAATTAAGTTATCTTATAGCGATAAAGTGATAGCTTATTTAAAAAAGAAAGTTCACACTTACTGCCTATTCTAGATTTTTTAAAAAATTACTATTGTAATGGTAGCTTAGTTGTGGCAATGGTTCAAGGTTTTTGTGGTTTAGTATTTTTAATACTCCAGTGTAATCTACTCCAGTCATCCTTGACAGAGAATAAAGATGGGTTTTCAAGGATCACAGCTTTCAAGCTATGTGGAAATGCCCATTTTCCATCTTGAAAGTAATCACCTACACAGATAAAGACAATGATACTTTGACTGGCATTGATAAACTGAATCTAGAAAAAACTGCACATTTCTGCTAAAATCCCTCCCCCTTTTTTTTTCCATGGCTAAATTCGCTGTACCTAGGAATCCCATAGTGCTAGTAAAAACAGCCATCTTTAATGGGCATTTCATGCCTCTGGCAATCATAGCTGCAGCCTTTAGCATTGACATGAAGCCATCCCTTAAAAACAACATGCCATTTGCCAGTGAACATAAAATTTATACTACAAAGTCAGAGGAAAAAAAAATCCCAAACCCCCTGGCACCTTTTTCATTAATGTACATCAATGCATGTGTATTTATTCTTAAACAGATATAAAATGTGAAGAATTTTTGCTCTGGAATTCACATCCTTTTTCCATGGTTAAATTCAATCCATGCCTGCCTGGATGTCGGTCAGTCAAATTTAGTCAGTCTTCATATTGGCAACACAGCCTTGACCTCTGAGTTCAGACAACCATTCCTGGTGCACTGGAAGCAAGAATTTGTTCTCATGACATCTCAGCCAACTACACTCTCCAGATCAGTTAAATCTGGTGCTCATTTTGGGGCAGAGATCTAATGAGATCAGGCAGAAGAATGTTCTACAGCAGCAGCCAGAGGCCCCAAACATCTTTTTCCCCTTGTCATGCCATGCCCTCCAGAATGCTCCTTTCTCTGCTGCTCCCTGAGCTCATGAGGACTCACGGCCATCTGAGGAGGGAGGCTGGTGCTGGCATTGGGATAAATTAGTTCTTACAGAAGAAGAGACAGAAAATTCTGCCAATAACTATATATGTTTGATGTTCCACTGAAAAACTCAATGGGCTTTAAAGTAATGAAGACAGATTTATTTTTTTTAACTGATTCAGAACATGTTTTGAAGCTTTTCTCTAGCCATGGAAGTAGAGAAGTTATTGCATAGGAAAAAACAAGCTAGAAAAACAAAAAGGAAGAAGAAACAAGAGAAAATGAGAAAAAGCCAAATTTTCAAAGCAATTCCTAGATTTTAAGAATTAAGGTTTTAAGAAGAACCTAGATGACAGCCATCACAAATCTGAGTATCACAAAATCTAATAAAGGTGTAAGACTTCCCACACTGGGTGTGTTCAAACAGCAGCATCGGATCACTTCATTCCTACACTGTACTTAATGTGTAATTTTGGCCTTACTCTCTATTCTTAGTCTGGCACCTTTCAGAAGGACTAAGCAAAAAAAAAAAAAAAAAATTGAGCAAATCTAAGGGATGTCCTCTTAACCTAGGAATATATTTAACAAATTGTTTTTCATTGCTGATCTGCATTATATTTAGTAGCATTCTATGCAACTATTCATAGTAGCAAACTGTGTAGCTTTTGGTTGAAGCTCTTACTAAGAGATAGCTTGAAATAACACAAAATAATATTGTTCAAAATAACACAATACTGGAGAATGAGAAATCACATTGACATGTGAAAGAAGTGACTTAAGGTGAATCATGTAACTCTACCTTCTCAAGACAGCACCCGAGGCTCTGAGACACCACATGGATCAGTCAATGGTTGTGCAGTTCACCAGGACTGGGAATTTTTTCTACTTTAAAACTCAATCAGGAGATTCTTTTGGCTGTGCTGTGAGTTTCTTCCCCACCAATATCCAATAGATCTTTCAGAAGATTACCTTGATTTCACATGATTTTATCTGAAAGAAAACCACATTTTCTTACTCAATGCAATTTAGAAATGAAACTGTTAGGGTTTCTATTAAAAACAAAAATTAAATCAAGATATTATATTTTAAAAATTCAGCTTAAGAAGCTGAAATATCAGTATTGTGTTTTGCTCCACAAAACATTTCCTTCAGCCTGAAAATTTAATAAAGCACATGGGAAATCACAGGTGTAAAAGCATGTGTGTGCATATGTAAGTACCTATGTGGCTTTATATAAAATCAATTACTGCCTTCTCAAGAGGTCCTTCAAAGTAAGTCCTTCCTAAATGCTACCAGAGAACAGAGGAGCCCATACTTTTAAAAAGAGAACATTGAAAGAAAAGTAGAAAGGGACAATGTGCTAAAAATTAGCACACATGCTCCACCAGAAATTTGCATTTTGGGGTTTTTTTGCTGCTTTCTAATATGACAGTTAAGAAGTTATGCTGGCAAAGCCCTTTTAAAATCAAGATAGTTTCTGCAGGTCTTACTGAGTCTGGTACTATTGTGTATTGTCAGTTCAATTATTTGAAGTCAAAATTCAGCCATATTTATGACATGTTATCAGTCTGGTTTGTGTTCATCATGAGATATTGGTGCAATTTTATCCATCTGAGACTAAGATCTAGTCATAAATACTTCATGACTCTGCTCTACAGACCAATCCATGATGCACCCAAGCATGTACACAGCTGGATACAAATATACATAAACCTCAGAATAAGGAGAAAAAACAGAAAGGGATGGATCTAAAAATTAATGCATATTACTTAGATCTGAAAGGAAAAAAGCCAAACAAACCCACAAGACACTGTAAAAGGCAATTCAAAATCATGTTATAGGGAGTAATCTCAAAGTTATTGTGGAGGTTTGGTGCTCATTTAAAATCTTTTTTCGGGTTTGCCAGTTCCTCCTGGTTACCACCTTGTGCCTAGGCAATTCCAGCTGCCTCTCTGCTGGAAGCTGGATACCACTGCATTCAGATTTACCATCATCTGGTCAGTGCCCACTTCCTTACAAAATAGGAATTGCTCATTATTTCTCCTTCCTTCAGTTCAAAATAGTGCTCTGTTGGCCCTAACTTTAAGCACAAGTAAGTGTATTCTACCCTCCATTTTAGTCATGTGTCTGCCTTACTATGTGGCAAGAACAGATCTGCTTTTCTTCTTGAATCTTCAGACTTAAAAGGGGGAGGCTTTCTGCAGGATTATGAAAAATTCCTCTGAAAATTTTTCTTATCTCTAGCCCTGTGTGAGTTACTTCAGAGAACCAGAGAGCAGCTTCAACACTACACTTTTATTCTTTGAGAAGTAAATACCTTATTTTGTCCCTTAGGCACCGTAGTGTAAATACTTTAACGCTCAGTCACGTGAAACAAACCTGTTGGAAAGTGCTGGATCACGCTTAGAACTGGGTCAAGTACAGATTACAGAAACAGAGAAGGGGATCAAATGACACTCAGCTGGTGAGGCTTTATGGAATCCTACAAGAGGTCAGAACTTAAATGTTTCACTTCTATTATGTTTTGCTTCCTCTATTTCAGGAAATCTAAATAAATAACAAGAGAAGCTCACTAAGCTTTCTCTAACATTTGGAAAGAGGCACGGCTCCTGAATGCCATTGAAGAATTCCTGTATGAAGGTCAGTGCTTGGAGAATCTGATGGCGAACAGGAGAGAAAAGATTACAGAATTATCCAAAACTATCCATCATCTGAATAAAGGGAAAGCAGCAGGTATTGATCAGTTCTCTGGAGAAATGTTGAAAGGGGGTGGAAGGTCAAAACATGGAAGTTACACTATCTTGGAAAGGAATGAAATCAAGATCAAATGACAAAGGCAGGACAATAGATTCTCACTCTACAATATACACAGCATGCATATTGTAGCACAGCTGAACTGAAATTTCACAAAGTGCACAAACACACAAATGCACCATGGAAATATATTGTATATCAAAAAGATGAGGCATTTGAATGCCAAAATATGAAGTAGAATCAGGGAGAGGGAAAATAGGGAAAACCTTACACAGCCATAAGTGTAAAAACCTGAGACATTTGCTGCAGATCTACACTTTCTACCAGTTATTGAACAGAATTTGTCAGACAGCAAAACCTGAATATAAAAAATATATTTGAAGCAGATGAGAAATGAAGAAAGAATTGCTGAAAGACAAAGAAGCACACTCCTTAAGGCACACATGCTTCTCATTTTACTTTGCAAAAGCTTTTCCCCATTTGTGAACTGTTGCCAAGTAACTTTTCCTTGGTACCTGAGCTGAAGCTGCTGAGGCCGTGAAGGTTTGGTTCTCACTGCTTCTGTTCATCCCAGCACAACACAGGGAAGTGTATGAGACATTGGCTGTTAGTCAAGTGTGCTCTGAGTGCTACTGCCATAAATTCTGCACTACTTGCTTCAAGTGGGAACCTGACATTAAGACATCTTGCAAATCAAGGAATTAATCTGAAAAAAAAGTCCAACTGCAGAGCAGAGATTAAAAAAAATGTTTGAAAAATGGCTTAAAGCAGGCTGGAAAACTTGAGGAAGTATTTTGAAAAAATTGTAGAGCATGGGGTTATGCTTAAAACCACATGAAACAGGCTATGCTTACACTTTTTTAAAAATTAATCAGGATCTTAAAGACCACATGTTGCTCTAAAGCATAAAAAATTTTATAAGAAATTACTTCTAGAAACATACAGGAAATTCTATGCCTCCAATGTTAACTCATCTGAATTTTATTTCCTTCTATTTTTAAAGGAAAATGAACCATGAAGAATCCCATTTATTCCCATGACTAATGACATTATAAACATCAAGTTTGGTCCAGTCATCTGTATTTTCATTTAAGCCAACAGCATAGGTGAATAAGCGTCTGGCAGAGATTCTAGGTTACTCTATATGTTAAATTACTGTTTTACAACTAAACACCTGCTGGGAGAATTGAAACAAATAGGTGAAGCATTTTTCACTGAACACTCTCTTCAGCACCATCTCATAGTGGCTCTCACCGTGATTCTAATTGGCAAAATAAATCTGGTGGGTGAAAACAGAGCCACCTCAAACCAAGCTAAGGCTTTTTCTTTGAGTCTCCAGAGAAGAAGAAAAAAAAGGCTGTGAATTTTTGCTCCATGCTAAAATCCAGGGAAGGGCACACTCACACAGGCTCAAAATGTTTACACAAACACTATGCAAAAAGTGTTTGAGTTGCTTTCAGCAGCACAATAGCATAAATGAGATTTTGTGTGCTTTCAGAATACTCTATATTGATTTTTCTCCTTTATGCTGCCTTTGCAATTGTATAATCTGATTCAATCTGATTCAGTGCATCAACACTAGTGAGGTAGAAATAGTCCCATGTATCTTCCCACTTCACAGAAGCGTATTTTTACTACTGCCCAATAACAATACAGAGTCAGAGGTGCTTGTGTTCAATCCTCTCCACTTCACCCCAAGTGTCAAAGTTGTCATTTTTAATTTTGCCAAATTATTCCTACAACTTCCAGAAGTATGCTAGGAGTGTGCTTGGGCCTGTTACTTTGGAAACAATGTTGAAGGTAGGTTGGAAATTAGAGATGAAAATAAGATAATTAAAATATTTTTACAGTATCTTTGGAAAGCATAGTAAAAGATACAGAGAACAGCATTCAATTCAGGTAGCCTTCTGGCATCACTTACACAAAGTTTAATTAAAGTTTCCAAAAACATCTCACCTCTTCCTTTGCCCTGCAGAAAGGTGCCTTGCTCAGGTTTACAGAGCCTTTTGCCATTAGTGTCTCTATTCTGGTGAGCTACTGCAGAAAGTCAGGGGCTAAAGTCACTTAAACACACACCTTTTCTTTTTACCCCAACTTGAAGATAATGGAACTACTCTTAAGTACCCTTCAAAAGCAGTAAGAACATGATTTTACCGTTCTGCCCTTCAAACTTACTCTCCAGAAACAAAAAGAGGCTGAAACACTGTGATTGGAAGTGGAGTTTCCCTACCTTGCTCTTATGCAAGAATTAAAAGGATGATTTTTATGAGGCATTCTATAACTAGATTCTGCACATAAAAAAATAAATCAATACATTGATTTTTCCTCACTAACAAAGATAATTTACCAAAACACTGTGTTTATTACAATTCATTCTGCTGTGTTTCTGCCTGGTGAAGCTATTTGTCAATTTTAAAATGGAAGAAAAGGAAAAAGCTTTCATCATTCCTACTTATTGTCCTTTCTCACCTTTAACTGTTGACAAGTTCTGTCAATGAAAAAATTGCCACCATTTCTCTCAAATCTGCCTTGCTTAATCCCTCGTAATTCTATGCTAATAGAAAGAATTATTCTCTCTCTCTACTTTGCCTTGAGTAAACAATGCAAATATCACCAAAAGTGACAAATATTCTCATCTACAATATAAGATCATTACATAGAACTGCTAGCCTACTCTACAAAATCCCATCTGATCACTAGGATGTTAATTAGTGGGGAAGAAAACCTTGCAAAGTTTTTAGCACTTCTGACTTTGGATCTCAGAGCGCTCTACAGAATTAAGTAAATTCGGCCTTATAAGACACTTCTAAATTAAATTCTTAGGTGAAAGAAAAAATCACATTTAGGGCAGAATCCCCACCCCTCCCTCACCCCAACCCCAAAACCAAGGTCCATATTATGAATCTGTTCTTGCTTCTGGTAGAAATTATTTGCATATTTAAATTAATTGGACTGTTTCAGGAAATAGCTGCATACCAGCGGAAGAGAAGCTGTTCACAGTGCAACTGCAATGACAGCCAAAGTTTCAATGAAACAAAGTTTCATGTTATTTCCCCTAAAAAGTCAGTGAGAAAAATATTGGGTAGCCTGGAGTCAGAAGACCAGCACTCTTTTTTTTCCCCCAGTCAAAAATGTTCTGCTAGAAGCAACCTAAAAGATAATGTAGTCCAGCCACTTTACAAACCCAGGTTTTATGCAAGACACATTGATTAGTTTTCCAGTGAGGTTTTCTCAATATCTCCAGACAGCCTGAGATGTTGTCAAGCTGAGCTTAGAATAGTATTTTCTTAATAATTCCCAGAATAAACTTTTAGTGGAAAGTATACTAGCTTCCTTTTCTGCTCTTCCTCCTATTCCTTCACTTGTGTTTTTAAACTACAAGCTTTCTAAAACATCAACTGCTTCTAAATGTGATTGCATATTGACTTACAGAACCTTCCCTCTTGAAGTTTTCAGATGATATTATAAAATGAATAATCCTAGAGAACTTTATTTTTAGTTTTCTGCTCTAGTCAAACTTTCAGGTTTTAATAATATTGAAAGCAATCAATCACCCTTGGTCTCAGCTTTCACTGTAAGAATATGCTTACCATGAACTATTACTGACTTCTTGCCATATTTTAACATTATTGCATTCCCTCTCACAAGATACTGTCAAACGACTTGGTTTTATCTGACCAAGACATTCAAGAAAAGGAAGAAGGATTCTTCTTCTTCACTTTTATTTATTTATATATTGTTAACAGGTGCTTTTGATTCACTAAAAGCTTTCCATCCTCTCATCTTCTAACCATTTTCCTCCTCTTTAGACTTGTTCTCACCTAGAACAGGCTCTTTCAATGTTCTTTCACTACTTCAATCAGAGTGATGGTGGTACTGACTTGGAGTTACTCACCTTCTTTGGCTTGGATGACAGTTAATTTTGTGCTTTTACCCAGAATTTCACCACAGGCACCTCATTTTCTCAATTCATCTTCTGTGAATTTCTTTTTCCAGTGATCATGTCTAGTGGATTTTACCTCAAATGTGAATGTAAACAATGACCCCTGAAATAGTGAAAGCACAAAAGGGGGTGAGCATGTACAATGGTGAAAAAACATTAATTCTGTTTCTTTTATGGCATCTTTAGCACTTACAGCTGAAATGTAAAAGGTCTGGTTATCAACCACAGGCCACAGCTGGAGAGAAAACATCTCCCTCTGCAGTGATAGCCTGACACTTGCTTCAGGGTCGGAAAGGGGCCCAAAGGTTGCTTGTGTTTTAACATATCCTTTCATTGTTTCCTTTTTCACTCAGAAATATGAGAAACACAAACTACAAAATGTCTTTGTTTCCCAACAAAGTTTTTCTGGACATGTCACTTAAATTTTTTCATCAAAAAATACTATTGCATTTGTTTTACTCTGTATTTTTTATTATTTTCTGTGACCTTTTGCAAAAGCAGTTCCTTTCTTCTTGTCAAGTGGACTCGTATTTTTCATTTTTAAACTCAATATTCCTTCTGACAGAAGAATGTAATTATTTTTTGAAGATGGTGCAGATTTGAGGTAGAATGAGAGAAAAGAAAAAGGGAGGGAAGTAGCAAAAAGAGAGAAAGTCAAGAAACCGTGAATGAAAATTTTTAAATGAAGACTGTTTTCTAAAATAAAAATTAATACTAACATTTATTACTAACATTTAATACTAACAAAAATTTAAACACTAACATTTCCATATGTGATTTATTAGAAATACCCATTTTAAAATCCCTATAAAAATTTCAAATTTTTACTGGGATGGAAATGTTCTTCTGTCAGAAATGGCATTGCAGAGCAATAGTTACAACAAATTACAGGAATTCATTTCCAAAATGTCACATTTACTTTTTCAGTCTCTTTTTCCAGCTTTCCTCTTGCCCTCTTCTATTACTCTTTTCATGCACTTGCTCCCTTCTTTTTAGAAATTACCTTATGTTTCTCATCTCTGTAAGCTTTTAGTAAATGTCTTCCTATATGACACATCTCCATATCTTGGCTCCATCACCTCTCATATTTCCTTCTTCTCTTTGTTTTATCCCTTCTGCCTCTTCTGTTTATTCCCCAGTTCCCTCAAATTGACACCCTTTCCTCATCTGAGTCTCCTCTAACTGTGCTCTCAATAAAAAATGCTGGTATCTCTTCCTATTGGACTGGCTTTCCTCTGCTACCTGCAATCAACCTCCAAATACTTACACCTTGGGGGAGGAGGGGAAAGGGGAAAGTGTGTCTGTCTGTGTATGCACCTCAGGGATCTCTGCCTGCTCTTTTTGAGATGTGAACTGGCCCAGCGTGGCCGGCAGCGAGCAAACCGCGGAGCTGCGTGGCACAAACGCCGCTGCCAGCCCTGCTGTCCCACCCTGGCTGCACGTGGGGCTTCCAAAGCACAAACTGCTCCCACAGTTGCCTTCTCCTGCTCAGAAATCAGGACAGAGCCCCCAGGAGCCATGAACCTAACTCGGATGATGTGAGTAGTGTTGTTCCCAGACAGAGACACTTTGCAAAACTCTCTACTCCATCCACGTGCGGGTGACAAGATCCACATTCACCCCTTCTCACATAGGGTTCCCTTGCAGCAAACCAAGGTTATACCAACTGATTAGCTAAAAAGTTAATTTCCAAGACCAGGAATAGACTTGTCTGAGTTACTAAAGGGAACAAAATGACGCCTTTCATTTCTGTGTTCAGTATGAATGGGAAGGTAGAATAAAATAAGATGTGAGTCTTCCTTTTTCATGGTTTTCCTCCCTGTGGAGAACTTTCATTTTACATTTTATTTCAAGAGGTAAGAGAGTCAATCTTGATATGAATGATATCAGGCTGGTGACATGGGACCTATCTCAGTCAATGTCTCTAGATACAGTACAAATAATAAGTAATAATCTTGGCAATATCCAAATTTCTATGAGAATTTTTGGAAACAGTATCACAGAGATTAAATGCTACTTCTAATTTTTTAATCAGTTTCTCACAGACAGGAATGCACAGGTGCCTTGACCTTAAACTTAGGTAATTATTATAATTAAAGAGCTAATACTCCATTCACAAATGTCTGCTGCACTATCTCTATTGTCTAAACCCCATTATTGTGCATGTAGTTCCTTTTCTGTTCCCGGTTTCTTTGGAACTCTTCCAAGATTTACTCAGTTATTGTTTAAAGCCTTTCTCAGTATGTTAGTCTGATGGTGTTTTGCGCTCTGCATCCTATGACTTATGGATCATTCCAGTTTTGGAGAGATATTGTCTATATCCATTCAAAAACATTACCCATCCTATATTCAGTAAATATACTACTCCTCTAATCAATAATTTCTGCTAACTCCCCAAATAAATTGATACTTTCTTTGTTATGCTGAGTAAATTAGACAAATGAATGTTTTGTAAAACTTGCAGCCCTTTTGTGTTCCCTTGGGTCCCAGTCTGTCTCCTTGCCTTTTTTATTTCCTTTTGCAGTGAGCACTACCCATATACCTCAGCTGTATTTACAGAATTATTTGGTCTAATTCTGTCACCAGAATGAAATCTATGCAAATGAAAGACTTTCTCAGTGTGCCTGTCAAACCATATTCTTCCCCAGCCCAAATTATTTTTAAATAGTTTAGCTTTTGGATGGGAAGGAGATACACACACTGAAGAGAAATATTTAATTTCAATTTCAGACATTGTAGAGAAAATGAATGTATTGATTTAAAAAAAGTAGTACCTCTCTCCTGCTTTAGCCCACAGCCCATCTTGAATAGAAGAAAGTTTGGTTCAATTATTTTTTTACCTGAGGGGTTCTGAATCATATTTCCTGGAAAAATATTTAACTACCATGTTACAGAATTTTCGTATTCTAGGATAAAGAGTCTCTCAATCTCTCCTGCTGGTGCTATTCCACTTGGTTTAATACACTTAAATATTCTGAGGCACAGTGAAAATGACTCAGTAACATGAGGTTTGTGGTACTCCTGTGGAAAATGGGGCCTCAGGGTTCAAGTCTTTGCTTCAATAAATATCTAAATATTTTTAAACAATGCAGAATTTCAACAAGAAAAAAAAAAAAAAGAAGGAATTTAAACCGAAGCGTGATGCACTACAGTCTCCAAGGCATTGTCCTGAATGAGGAGAGAGCGGAGAATGAGGAGAGTGGAGAATGGAGCCCAGACCTTCAACAGATGAAGCACGAAACAGAAAAATGGGGATTCACAGATTTTGTCGAATTAGTGTGGACAACTGTTTTTTGCAGTAAAGACATGTTCAGCCACTGTATAGTGATTTTGCTGATAGTTCTGGCACAATAGAAGATGTACTTTGGTTTAAAAAACTTGCAGAAATGCTAATCAAACCCTATACTTAATTTTTGGTAATCATAACAATAGTAAAATATATGTCCTTACAAAAGAGGCTTGGGAAAAGAAAGGAAGTATTTCTGCCAAATTATGTCCTCAGAGGTTAGAATTTTCTAGTTTTCATTATCATGGAAAACAGGTACCAATGTGGTGATGGCAGATAGAACAAGAAGCAAACAGAAAAGGGGTTGACTTATAAATACACAATCACCAAATGATGTTTTTGAAAAATAAGTATTATTACTCAAAAAAAGTGTTGCTGTTCTGTACAGCAGGTGAAGGACAGGTACCTGCTTTGGACATAACCTGAAGCTCCATTTCCTGTGCAGTACAGATCTTAAGGTGGAAACACATAATGATATTTTTATATAACCTATACATGAACAATTAGAAAAATGGCATTTTGTATAATTTCTATGGAAAGAGGAAAGCATGCTGGGGCCTTTTGCTTCACAGAGGTTTAAGGACTTGCTTCAGTCAGATCCCTCACAATGAACTAATTTAAAACAAAAACCCAGTTCAAAAAGACACACATTTATAACGCCTGCCAAGGAACACTTAAATTACATGTACTACTCCATGAGAGAAATAGTGTAAGCAACATCAAGTTTATCTGTTAAAATTTTTACTGTCATGTTCCTGAACCTTCCTCCTGCAAAACTTGAGCTCCCTTTTTCAGAAGAAATCCTGCATATTTTCTGAAATTATGTGTTCTTTTATTCATAAAGTGTTCATTAATTAAAGCAAGGCAATATTGTCAGCAGAGATGCATCTGTTACTCTTAGGAGTCTCCAGGACAAATTCTGTTTTGGTGACGTCTGTTTTACTATTGTCCTGACAGAGCAAATGGCTAAAGACCGAGTTCTTTCTGATGTACACATGTTATATATGCAATTAAGTCTTGCTATAGTAAAGAATCACTGTCAGCAGAGATTATTTTAATGGATGTACAGTATTACTTTAAACTAAGTCTTCACCATCTGTTCATCTTAATTACAAATGCAAAACCAACATATCTTACATTAGCATCAGAAAATGGGGAAATATCAGTGACTGAAATGTCCATATATACTCTTTGTGCAATGCTGCATGCATCTGTGCCATTTTTCTTCTCCTCTTCCAAGCAACACAAATTGGGAAGAGGGGGAGGAAAGAAGGGGCTAGAATTATTCCTCACAGATAATTTTCTGGCATGGTTGAATCTTTTTCTGGCAAACAAGGATTCATTATGAAACATTTCAATATATTATGCTTTAGAATGGTTTCCAAAAGTATGTACTTGCACTTGTACCTCATCCTAGCTCTTTCTGGCTGCCAGATTATCAGGGAAAATGAAAGAAAGAGCCAACACATGCTAATGCCATCTAATAAATCACAAAAATGGAGGTAAAAGAATATGCAAGGAATATTCTGATTTATACCAAACGGAGAGGTAAAAAGGAAGTAAAATATTAAAAATAAAATCCTATATTTCTGACATGATTTTACTTCATATGGACAAGATAGATTCATAGAAAATAATAAAATATGTAAGAGTACAGCCTATAATCTGTTGCAATTTGGTAGCTTGCTAGTAGATATTGGGTCCCACAATTGTTCATCACTAAGGAAGCAGAATTATAACAGTCAAGATTAGTTTAAGTTTACTGATTAAGTTAAGTAAGTACTGATTAAATTAATTAAGTTTGCTTATT